TTTTTTTTATCAAAGGTCAAAATATATCCTAGAACTCTTATTCTTAATAAATCTAGGAGCCAATTGAAACATGTATAAGACACCTACATAACAACCCTTAGGCTGGAGAAATCTTAGGAGCCTTAGAATTCAAGCCATCCCTAACCTTTGGCGCTTCAAACCTAGAATCCCTAGGTCTTTAAGCCCAATTCCCCACAAGGCCAAGGGCTAAGTTAGGTTTACGTTAAAATTGAGTTAGTATTGAGCAACATTGATTCCTTCAAGTCTTGCGAGCTAGGCTTGTCAGCTTCCTTTCAATTTTGAATCAATCCATCAGGTTTTCAATAAATCTTTATTTTATTAATTAATAAATGTTCAACAATTTATTGGGTTCTATCTCTCTCACACCCACATACACACTTTACAAAAAAGCCTTGCCTATTATTTGATTCCCATAAATGCATTAATCAATTCACAGGTAGCCATTGGTCCTCTAATGAACTCGAGTCTAGTAATATTTAGTGAGAATGAGCTGGGACCTTAGCGGTTATATTGTTGAGTCCAATGATTAAGTCTTGGATTCCATTCTTACCAAAAGGGTAAGGAACTAAAATCCCGACTGACTTATCCTTCTTTATTTACCCAAAAAAAGGTATAAAAATATCTCATTGGCAAATTATTTCGCCATCTCCCAAACATGCATAGAGGTTCCACAGAGCACAGTGCCCTACTTACTGTTAAGAAGTTGACAAAATCATGATTTCCTCATCCATAAATAAGAGTCGTCCAGCCATATAAATGGGTCCTTATGCCTAAAATTCATATTTAGCTTCGTAGCATTTAATGGTACCAAATAAACTCTTTGTATGCTTTTCCTTAAGTCATAGGGATTGTACCTTCTCCTTGAAGACTTGAATCCTTATTGTACCTTCTCCTTGATTTTCATTGAATGGTTGTTTTATTCTTCAATAACAAACTTTATCATATTTTTTAACTGAGATTCGAGACATTTGAATAGTTTTTATGAGTCCCCCGACTCCTACTCTTTTCATGCAGGCTCCCTTGATCACCCATTATATGTATCAATCTTGGATCCAAACTTGTAGTGATCCATGATTTACACTATGACGATTATGAATATAAAAAAAAATTTAAATTAAATTAAAAATTTAAAATATTTTTAGTATAATATTTTCTTATACATTGGATGAAAATCTTTAGTTGTGGATGTTCATCTTAAAAATGGATGTTTGTGATTGCGCGGTTGCTTACTCACAAGGCACTTTTTCTTTAAAATTAATGTCATCTTTACAACAAAATAGCATATACCAATTAAGTTTTTAAAATACGGAAGATGGTTTGATAGGGCTATAGACCCTATCAAAATAACTACCGCTACATATATAACTCATCGAAAATAACAATTCAATTGTTGGAAAACTTTTAAATCGATCATCTCGGCTTGAACATTATGGTTGTCAAAAAAAATTAGGATTTCAAGTTAAAAAAATAGGATATAGTTCAACAAATCATCCAGACCGTCCATGTTTCCCTAAAAATAAGTGTTCACAGATCCGTCAAATCTGTACATTTTTATTTAATTTCAAAATTTATTGTTAGTGTTAGAAATTGATTTTAGAACCATCATGGAGATTTTCATTTCTGAAAGTACTTCCGGACGAGAATTTGAGATGATGCGTTATTTTGTTTTCATAAAACCTAGGCCTTATAGAAATTTCATCCTTAAAATATTACTTATAGGGTGTGGTTTCTACAAGGTTGCAACCTTAAACAATCCAACTAAGGCGCACTTTCAAATTTTATCATAATATCTAATTTTGGTGTAAAGATACTTTAGGATTATCTTAAAATCTATTTTCATCTCTAATTATAAAATTTTAGATTCCAAAAATACTTAAAATCAAGTAGATCTATAAACATATGAAAATCTCGAAAATGGACGGTCTAGATAATGTATTACAAGGCACACTATGTTTAAGATTTGAATTTTTTGTTTTTTCCATATCCTATAACTTATAGTCGATACGATCAATTGGAGAATTTTCCAACATTGAAACAATTTTTTCTGATTAGTTTTCTGACAGCGATGATACCAGTTTTACTCTATGGGTCAGAATGTTGGACGAATAAAAAACAATATTCCCATAGAATGAGTGTAGCGGAGATGAAGATGTTGAAATGGATAAGTAGCAAGACAAGAAATGATATAATTTGAAATGAATATATTCGATAGAATTTAAACGTGACACCAATAAGTGATAAAATGATATAGTAGACTTGGGTGGGTTGGCTATGTGTGGTAACCAAATACAACAACTATTTGGAGGTGGGAGTTAGTTCAAGTGGAAGGACATAAAAAGGCAAGGGGTAGGCCCAAAAAGACGTGGTTGGAAGTAGCTCGAAAAGATATGAGGACGTATGACTTCACTGAGGATAAGACTTTTAATAAAGCAGAATGGAGAACCATGATTCATGTAGCTAACCCCAATTAATCGAAAAAAACTAAAATGATGATGTATCTCACGTCTATTATACAAGGTGGACACTTTATATAAACTTTTTCAATTTTGAACAATCTATCGCTCCTTTCATCAAATTTCAAATAGAGATATTGAAACTTATCAATTTACACCATAATGTTAGTTCCATTCGGACTCCATAAATTCATCTACATCACATCATTGAAGTCTATACTTATGCCCAGACCCCACTGGTCAGGTCTCGATCAAAGTTCAGGTCTGGTCAGTTCGAGTCATGATCCAAGTTGGCAAACAAGGAAACCGTCTGGGCTGGGTAGAGATCCCATCTACGTAGGGGTGCAACGAGTTAGATCGGGTCTGGGTCCAGCCAGACCCGGACTTGAATTCACCGAACCCATACCCGAAAATATAGTGTGGGACCCGAACCTGAACCAGGACATGGACCCAACCCAAAAATTAAAATATTTATATATTTAACGATAGGGATTCTCTACAAAGAACCAGTTTATCTTTTGTACATAGAGTTCATTATCATTCACACTCATTAGATGTCAAATTTGATGGCTTGGGGTGAGTCACTAAGTCTGAGATTTTTTTTAAGAACTTTAAATCTTTTCAATGACACTATTACAATCACCTATTTTGAAATTTAAAAGATAAGAATAATTGTGACCTTTATATACAAGAGATAAATAATATCTTTGTAGACAATCTTTTAACTATATTTGAATATATTTCATATATTAAGACCCGAAAAATATTATCAAACATGAATCCAATCAAACCCAAATCCATATCCAAATAGTATTCGGGTTCAAAATTTGGATCCAAACCCAACCTGCGTGGTCCAATTTTTTAACCTCTATCCAAAAATCTACGCTCCTAGCTAGAGCAATGAGGGGCGCACAAGGATCAAAACACGATGCCCAAGGGTTCAAACATCGAGAGAGAAATGGGACGGGGAGGGGGTTCTGGCCACTGGGAAGGTCATGAGAGCCGCATCACATTTCCCAAGGTCCAAATTCCAATGAAACTACCCGAATGAGAGGGAGACGCTCATACGGAAGTCACGGGGCTGTGACGTATGTGCAAGCGTAAGAGAGAGATAAAATGTAGGACACTCATGTTTTGCGAATATTTACATGCTCTCGTGGGAGCATATTGGACATTAAGGCCCTCGAGTATGTCCAGAACCATATTTTAGGGCCAAGCCTCCGTACGTAGAAATGCAGGTCCTTTTATAAATCTATTTTTAAAATGAATTTTAAGAACTTAGTTTTGAAGGACATGTAATCGTAAATATGAAAAATAAATAAATTTTAAAAAATAGAAATAATAGCTCTAGTAAAAAACCATTTGGACAGTTAATTTCTATTGTTTTTAGATGAAACATCTACTTGCATCTATCTTTAATATGGATGCTTCACATTTTTTTAGACCACATTGTAGAAATGTAGTCCAGCCGCATGAAACAATTTTTCTATTTTAAGATGTGACTTTCTCAATTTAGTTATCAAATTAAAAGTAGAAAAATAATAATCATAGGCACCTTCTAAGTGCATGAAAAATAATATTATCTCAAAGAAACGATTTAATTTTTAAAAAGTTAGATCTAAACATTCAGGAACTCAAAGCCAAATATGTTTCTTTGACAGCTCTCTCATGATTCTAGTAAGGATCCCAAAAATGTTAGCGCAAGTTCTTGCTCCTTCAAAGCTTAATCTTCCAAAATAAAAATTATTTCATATAAATAATTAATTTTTTTGAAAAACTGTTGATATGGATCGGAATCGCCCGATTTTGATTGAGAATCGGTAGGGACCATCAAGTTCTCAATCGAAACTGAGAATCAGACCAACTCCCACAAAATGGTCCAACCGCTTCTGTAATATGGATCACCTAGTTCCCAATCATTTTATAGGAGCTCGCCTAATTCTATGTTTCGACCTGAGAACTAATTGGCCCTTATTGATACTGTCAGGGAATTGAGTGATCTGGATCATTCAATTTCCACGATATAAATATTATTTTTTTCCTTTTATTTTTTAATTTTTTTACTTTTTTTATCTACCCAATTCTCCCCTATTGTCATATGACCGTTCCGGGTCGGCGATTTGGATATCAAATTAGTTTCCAAGATGGTTCATTCACCCATTTGATCAGGGTTTTAAAGCATAGTATGATCCCGCGGAGGTGCACTCTAGGCGACGTCTTAAATATTGTCTCTTCCTTGCACAAAAGACACTTGTGATAACGGTCGCCGTTTTCCGACGTTGTCTCGCAGTCCTATATTTAGAGTGTTAGACCATATGCCACGCCCATGACTCATTATGCATGTGGCCGTCCTAGAAATGCCAAACCGGATAAGCCTTTCATCGGACGGTCCAGATCAAATCTTACATCCCTTAACGATGAATACTCAGCCATCCGATGTGATAAGAACGTACTCCTTTTTGTTACGTATAGCTGTTCATGTTTGAATATATGTCTATCTATATATATACATGAACAGCTTTAGAGGTAGCAAAGAGAAACAAGAGAGGACACCATAGTGAGAGACAGGAAACTAGAGAGAGAAACAACGGAAGAAAGAGAGATGGAGAGGGGTAGCAATGTGTATGTTGTAGAAGGTGGTGAGAGGGACAGGGGAAGAAAGATGGAGAGGGGTGGCGATGTCTATGATTCACCTCAAGGAGTCGAGATTCGAGGTCGGTACGATCACGAATTCGCGAGGATTTTGAGTCGAGAAGCTCTCGAATTTGTTGCGGATCTAGAGAGGGAATTTAGACCTCGAGTGAAGTACGCAATGGCTTGCAGGAAGGAGGCTCAGGCTCGATATGATGGGGGCGAGCTCCCTGGGTTCGAGCCTGGGTCCAAGTGGGTGCGCCAGGGCGGGTGGGTCTGTGCGCCAGTTCCACCAGCGGTGGCTGATCGGAGGGTCGAGATCACGGGACCAGTGGAGAGGAAGATGATCATCAATGCTCTTAACTCAGGAGCTAAAGTGTTCATGGTAAGGATCCTGGATCATTTGTAGCATTTGGGTAGGCAAGATTGATGTGCGTGTTGCTTTTGCATTAAGAGAGAGAGACGTATGTGTGTGTTATATATGTATTTAGAGAGAGAGAGACGTATGTGTGTGTTATATATGTATTTAGAGAAAGAGAGGATCCTGTTATTCTTTGTTTGGGCTAGATGATGAAGATATTACATGAAATGGTGCTAACATGCAAAACAAACAGGCTGATTTCGAGGATTCTCTGTCTCCAACATGGGACAACCTGATGAAAGGCCAAGTTAACCTGAAAGACGCAGTGGATGGAAGCATAAACTTTGTGGATTCAGATAGAAAGAGAGAATACAAACTGAATAAGGAAAACATAGCCATGCTGTTTGTGAGGCCAAGGGGTTGGCACTTGCCTGAGGCTCACATAGTCATTGATGGTCAGCCAACAACTGGTTGCCTCGTGGACTTTGGGCTCTACTTTTACCATAACTACGCCGCATTCAGGTCCCTCAGAGGAGCTGGCTTTGGTCCCTTCTTCTACTTGCCCAAGATGGAGCACTCTAGGCATATCTCTCTCTCTCTCTCTCTCTCTCTCTGAATATATATATATATATATAAATAAAAAGACACTATAAAACGTGGCGAAAATGAACAATGATTTTGTCTATACTTATCACTGTCCAAAGTTCATCACACGGTCATAATTGTTTAATAGTATTTTATTTTTTATTTTTTTTCTACATATTGGAATGAGCTAAAATTTGAAGCGTGCATTCATAAAAAATAAGCGAAATCTATGGAAAATATCAAAAGGATATTTTATATGAAAAAAATTGACCAAAATACCCTCAAAAAGTTTTGAGGTATTTTGGTCATTTTTTCATGAATTATTTTTTTATATTTTTATTAAGTGCACCTCACTAAGATATATAGACGCTCCAAATTTTAGATCATTTTGATTTGTAGAAAAAAAATGAAAAATAAAACACTGTCGGACAATCGTGACCGTGCAATGAACTTTTCACGGT